AGGTGTCTGCTGAAAGCCTTCACTTGCAGAAAATACATTTACTTCCCTGAGATGAATAAAAGAAAGAACTGAATCTTAAAGGAACTGTGCATGTACACAAAGGATAACTTTGATGGTACAAAGCCAGTGTTCAGGTGTTTAATCATCATCTTCTGAAGCTGTCTTGGAGGAAGGCAGCATGGACACCCAAGAACAAGAACACTGAATGGCGTCCCAAATGCCAGAGTGCAAACTCCAGCATTTTTCTCACATTTTGTCTTGCTCTTTGCAATAATTCAAGAAGAGTCCACTGCATTGCATTTATGCCTTGGCAAAATGGATCCCATAAAGCTTTCAAGGTTGGGAATAGAGGATACCCCTTTGTACTTATACCAAATCTGTTCTAGACACAAGGCCTGAACCAAGAGCTGCTGCACTGGATAAACCCCGTGAACTCTGATGGGCACACTCAGCCTCCAGCCAACCTTCCTACTGTGTTTGATAAGAAGGGACAACCCCACACATTTTGAGCCAAGGCTGTTCGGAACACGTGCTTTGTTGTGATATTTCACCTTGTAAACATCAGTGCCTTTGGATTACCATGAAAACCACACCAACTATTGTGTGCAAACACACACACACAGTGGTACTAAATGCAAACCCAGTTGTAGCTGTGAGCTTAATGTGGCCCAAGAGCCTTGAGAACAGCTCCAAAGATCTGAGAACAGCCTGTCCCATAAACACAGATGACAAGCACCACCTTGACTTAAACCATGGACCGCCCAGCTTCGATTTACAAAAATAAAATAGTAGGGGGGTTGTTTTTCTGGGTGACCTTGAACATCGCGGGTTTTGGCAGGGGTGGAAGAACACCATGGGACAGGGAGTGAGCCAGCTTCCACTTCTGTTTCACTTCACTGCGAGACAGTGTTTGGTTAGTTTGGATGAGAAACACCGGCTCTGTTTGCCATTTGGGCTCAAGCTCTCCAGCGCATTGCGAGTGCCATCTGCAGGTGGAAATCTGCACTGGCTCCCGGCTGAAACCGGGATAATCAACCTGAACCACAGGAAATATTCCCTGCATGTCTGAGGGAAAAGCCCGTAATGGCAGAGGGGCTACAGAAATGCTCCTTTCAGACTATTCATGAAACCACTCAGACCTGTGGCAGCAGAATGCCAGGGATTATCAGAGCAGTTTCCCATGACATTTCCTAATTCTGCAGTAGCACAAAGGCAGCAAGGCTCTCTGTGAGCAGAGGAGGATGCTGAGAAGGCCACCTTAACCTTGGATTGCCAGGACTGCCAGAAGAGAGGAAAAGGATACTGAGGAGAGGAGAAGTGCTTCCAACACCTGCAGTTCAAGTAGATAGTGCTGAAGTGTTGGGAGACTTTTCCAGCTGGAAGGCATGCTGTTCTCAGGATAAAAACACTGAACAAGAAAAAGTTACAGAGCCTAAAAGGAAATTATCTTTTGATTTGCAGCCGTAACCGGCTGGACTACTGTTATCTGATTTGCAAAAAAATCATTCCAGCCAAGCAAAGAGGCCATCACTGCAACACTGTAGCTACATCCAGAGCGAAATTCCTTCGGTGATGTCTTGATAATGCCTGGCTAGAAAATGTCAGTGCACGGCAGGCACTGTGCTGTGCCGAGGTTGGCACTTTCACAGTGGCAGCCTGAGAACAGCACCAGCACTGGCTGTGAAACAGTTGCAGGTATACACAAGATAACAACCTCCCTCCCAGGAGCTCAGGCTTTTTAATCCAAATTCAAACATTTGCCATCTGTGCATTCCATGTAGTATAAATACAGTCAGAAAAATTGCCAGAGCTTTGTCTAAAGAGCAGTTATGAGAGAAAGAGACCCCAAATTACATTTCCTATTGCCCGCAACACAGTGCTGTAAAATCACTGACATTTTCTGAGCACAGCTGTATGCAGGAATGTGATCTATTTGGGCCATGCCTGATTGAATCATTACATCCAGATTTATCAATCTGCAGTTTCTAATCAGACATAGAGGGAGCATGTTCCACCTCTCAATCTAGTGCCATGGCAGGTCAGTCAATCAGAGCAGTTGTCAGCACAGCAATACCACAAGACTGTTTTACACACAGTAAGGCAAAACTAGGAATGTTTTTCCCCCTGTTAAAAATGTCAAGAAGACTCCTGAAAATTGCTTCTAGTCTGACCTTTGCAAATACCCTCCTGAAACAGCAAGAGATAAGAACAAATATGTCAGAGCCAAAGCAAGTGGATTTTTGAGAATAAATTTATACTGTATGGCAGGCTAAGCACTTTTATCAGAGAACTGCCAATAGAAAATACTATTGCCTATATTGTCAAACTCATCAGGCGTGTCTGGAGAACATTTTTAATATTATTTTTTAAGAAAAACAAACATAACTCTTTTTATTGCTATTAAAGCTAGTAATTAACATCCTGATAGGGGGAATGGGCAAACTCAACAGCTTTTTTAGGGTGGTGACGTATCTGCTTTATTACATGGTTATATTGGGAAAAAGTTGTGCCAGTTATCCACCCTAGCCATGGCAAAGGTGTTTGCTAGCTTGAGAAAAATAACAAATATTTAAACTTAGTTAATTTCCAACCAACTGTGAAGTGTTAAGCATCAAGAAGGTAGTTAGGAAGACTAAAAATTGGTCATAATCAAAGTTGGTTCTATAATCTCAGAAATTACACTTTTTTCTTTCCGCTGCATCCCCCTTTGAAACACCTACCTTCACTTGAACATATATCCTCACCCAGTGAACAAGATTCATTTGCTCTGAATTTGACCTCGTAAACTGAAAGGAAATGTGTCTGAAGTGGTAGAGAAGAAGGCCTAACAGGGAGGTCAGAAAACTCTTCAACAAAGTAATTATATCCTGACTTGTCCTAGTACCTACAGGTGCCAACTGCACACTGTAAGGTTCCTCAACCCTGAAGAGGGGATGGATCTCCAAATTCCACCAGCCTGTGGAGCAAGCCTTAATGAGCTGCTGTTTCCATGTGCAGACAGTTACATGGCTTGCTCTCACCTCTATTGTCAGGACTCTGTTATTTTTCTGTCTCTTCTCACCTGTTCTTAATTTGTTTCCTACATCCCTAGTTAAGAAGTACTCAGAGAGGACCTAGAAAAAAATGCTTACTATGATCCAGAAAATGTGAGATGTAATGGGAATTATGAAGATAATGTATCAGAGGAGGGGGATTTAGAAAATATTAATGACACAAAGGACATAAAATCACTTTGTTTCAGCTCCTGTATATTACATGATCCTAATTTTCATTTGCTAGCCCAGTAACAATTGACTCAAGCACTCACTCTGAAAAGAACCCTAATATTGATTTTAGGATTAAAACTAACACTAATTTGTGCTTTTGGATGAGGCCTTGCAGAACCATGCTTTGCAACCTCCAGCCTAAAATCCATTTTAATAAATTTGCAGAAATTTAAGTTTTTAGAAATTAAAATCTATTACCAGAAAGCTTAAATCCACAGGTGGTTCCATGAACTTTTAGAAACCCACCAATGCAGAAATGCTGCTTTCAGGCTGTGAGATTTGTCAGTTATGTAAGGATTTCCCACCACAGCTGAACGGTAACACTGAAATTCATTAGCAAGACAAGCAATGGGATGTTCCATCAAGAGCTGAATATCTAATGAAAAGAAGGATCTTGGTAATTTGAATTTTCAACAACATAGACAGGAAAAGATTTTCAAGGGATTGGTGAATAAGAATAATATTAGCAGAATTAAATATGTTGAACATGGTTAAGAGGCACATAGGAAAAGACATGACAACATTCTGCAGATATTTCAGGATTGTTAATTCATCGCATTTCCTGGGATTTATCCCCTTAAGGGAGATAATGAAGACTACAGGGATATAAGCAATAATAATTAAAAAAGAGATTGAAGAAATATAAATGCAATATGAGGGAGAGGAGAAAAAAAATCTCGTCAGTAGCTGCCAACAGGCAGTGAAGTATTTTCCCTGAGAAAACAGTGAAAGAGGTGTGTCACTGTTTCTGGAAATATCTTAAACTAAACTAGGCCAGCACATGGGAAAGGTTTTGCAGAAAACCAAAACTAGTCTAGTAAATTTTTATCTTATGCCACATTGCAACATTTGAGCAATAACCTGACTGTGTGTATCAGGGAGACAAAACTCTGATACATTCTGCTTCACATGGATTAATCAGGAATTTATCCAAAATACCCAAAGGAGAAGTATCTTTACAGATTATCAGTTACAGATAGTAAATGTTTCAAATCTACCTCAAATCTACCTCAAATCTACCTCAAAATGGTGTAACATGATCTGGGTAATTTCTGACCATGGATACTTAGGGGGAAAAAAATCTATTCAATCCATGGAAGGATTTCTTTTAAATTTTTATAAATAAGGACAGGAAGTATCATCTACTATGATTCCACTTTGAGGAACAGTTGTAAGATTTTAGCTTCTACCAAATTCCTGGAAAAATCTTGCTTACAGTGTTCTACGAGGAAAATTAATAATAACAATAATAATTTCTACCTGTAATGATTGCCTTTTAGTCCAAACCAAAAAATCCCTTCTACATAATGCACTGAAGGATGGGAAGGGTACTCGTCCTTACTGCAAACTCTGCTGTTTCCCTTGATTCTTGACAGCTGCTCCCCACCTTGTGCTCAAGGCCCTCAGACTCCACTGTAGGAGTTGGGATTGATTTTTCCATCATTCTCACTCAAACCCATTCTCCTCTATGTCCCAACAGAAAATGCTACTTTCCTGTAAGCTGCTTGTGATTTCTCATGGGCTATGAGACCTTTCATCAACCCGGTGTAGTGATTGTAAGTCCTGCAGTGTGCATGCTGACTTCCAGACCTTGGAGACAGGATTCTGGGCAGTTCCGAACCATTGAAGAGAGCAGCAAAAGTGTGTATCACCAAAACAGTGATAGCTTTTTCTGAATATGCAGAAGGAGCAACAAAAATCAAGCCAGCAGAATTGTCTGGTTCAGACTCTTACCTGTGCTACCTCTTCAAAATCATCATGTCTTTTCTGCAGCGCTCGTGCTCTGTGCAGAGACTTCCCCACTCCCGTGTGTTTGCTCAGAAAGGCTTCCCCATGATTTTCAATCCAGTCCAGTACCTGCCAGAAAAGAAGAACACCCAGTTATCTCCCCTGTCCCAGAAGCACAGAGAAACCCTGCAAGGGTGAGGATGGAACAGCTGCAGAGGAATGCCTTGTGCTTGCTGTGGGTGAACACAAGCAGCTCTGTCAAAATTCATTCTAACTGGAGAGAAGATAAATGCTCGTGGATGCTACTGCTAAATCAGGTTTATTGAATTTTTGTTATTCAATTTATTTTGAAGGGTAGCTTAGTTATTGGAGCCTGGCAGATATTAAATATTTACTTTCACATAGATGACTTTTGGGGAAAGGGAATCAGAAATCTGGAATCTCTTACAGGAAGTACTGTCCTCTGATGAGCTTGTGTAAACTGCAAGACAGCAACAGCTGATTTCACATCTCAGTGTCAGAGGTAGTCCAAAAGCATGGTGGATGGATCAATTAAAATCTATTTTATGTGGGGAGAAAGCATTATCAGAGTTACTGGAATAAAAGGTTAAGAAACCTTTGCAGCAAACCAGAAAATATTGACAATGTGTATCTTCCAATTCTTCCAGGTCCTTCCATTGAGTTCCAAATGTAACTGATCCTTACGGAAAAGTGGGATAACAAATCTGATACTCTGAGAGTTACAGAGGATTCTCTTTTAAAAGTATTTTATCTGCATGTGCAGCACCCATGTGGAGTTTCTTCTCACAATAACACTGACACTAAAATTTATACCAAATCTCTTTGGGGTCTACTGCAAGCTGGAAGAAAACCCCAGACTTGACAATATAAGGTTGGGAAATTTCAGAATTAGATTGATAATCTTTTTCCATCTCTTTCCAACACACAGAAGCTGAAGGAATACATAGTAAGAGCAGCACTGGTATTTCTGTAACAGGTGGGACTTCCTTCAGCAAGGAGCCCTGTGCTCCCAGCAGGTTCTGGATCCTCACTGCAGCTGATGCCAATGGACTGGGATACAACAGCTGGAACTTCTGTCACTCCAAAGGGACAGGACTCTGCAGGCAGCCCCAGGACAGTGACAGTACCACAGATATTGATTGAGTCCAGAAACCTACCATTGGAGAAATGGAAGATAGGATTATTTATTTATTTATTTACGGTTTCAGGTATTTCTTGGCTTGGTTATAGAGAATCGAAACCACCTGAACTCTGAGCTTTCTCTGTAATATAGATCCCAGGTGTATTTCTATACACCTTGTGTATTTCTATAGGAAGTCCTAAATACAAACAAAGCTTTATACACATATACTTATGTTCCAACCATATTTCTTTACAGAATGTATTTGACATAAGTGACACTGTGGGGAGGAGGAAGCAGGACCAGATGTGTTGGCAGTTCAGCCATCACTTCCTGCTTCCCTTTCTTTGACCAGCTTGTCTCCCATTTGCTCTTTGTAGAAAATCCCAAATACATTTCTTCAATTGCTTGACAGCCATGTGCCAACTGGTCTTCTAAGAGCTTTTCTGCAACATACTTTTGATTAGGAATGACTATATGACTTGTCATGACAATCACTGGAGGCCAGTCTCCCAGCACTTGTGTTGTTAACAGTCTGCAAATAATCCCATTAACAATCTCTTTTCTCTTGTCAGGAGTTTTCAACATATCTATTAAAAGTGGAAGCAAGCCAAATTCAAGTTTGGAACAAATCTCATTTTTTGAAATGGCAAATGGCTTTAAACAATGTTTCATATTAAATTAGTATGCAGTATGTGCTTTTTATTTATTAAAAATTGATAGCCACTTACTGTAATTACACAGAAAACTATTCCAATAACTTTTTCATGCTTATAGCATTGAAGTAGTCATCAGAGAATAACTTGCTGAACAGCATTTTCTGTTCTTGAAGCCCCATGTTAACATATCTGACCACTCCAGACATCAATGAACTTGTTTTCACAACCATTCAATGACATACATAAATTCTATCATTTCATCTTGCATAGAAGAGGGGAAAATATAAACATTACATATATATATATATATATATATATATAAAATATATATGGTATAAAAAGTCTCAGTGAATTTCTGAGTTGTCCCAGGAAATGGGCAAAAGACCAGATGTTGTTATGAGGTTCTGATAACCTGATAGGCCCAATTAACAAAAGAATCCTCAGCTAAGATGCTAAGATTAACTAAGATGCTAATAAAGATAATATATATTTTTGTATATAATGTATTTGGATCTAATAAGCTCACAATAATCTGCACGCATAGAGAAATAAAACATTTTTGTTTCCATCATAAAAGACAAGAAAGTTGGCACTTTAAAAAGCTGAGATATAGCATAACAGAGTGAATAAAGCAACAGCAAAAACATAAATCTGTGTGGACAAAAAAGCACTTAATCTGCTGTGCAAACAATGAGAAATATTAAGCAGTTGGTCTGTGGCAAATGCAGGAAGAACTCTGAAAGGTCCTGGTCAAAGCTGAAATCACCCACACTTGTAAACATCTATGTGTCAGCATATTTGGAGAAACTCTCCCTTACCCTGAAGAATGGAAATGTCTTTAGAACTAGAATAACTGTAATAATTCAAGATAAACACTTAACATTTTAATTGAGAGCACGGACTGTATAATTTACTCTACTGCCAAAAATTAACATCCTGAGACACAGGTAGACATTAAAGTTACAGTGACTTGGTTGAAATAATTTAATTATCCCTTAAAAACTTAAGAAGCTTGAAGATGCCATTAAAAGTGCAGTTAAGAGTGTTTTCCAAATTAAATCTTCAGATTTCCTAATTGTGCTTTATTGCCAAGCTGTATTTTATTCTAGCTAGGAAAGGACTGTAACTCATGAGCCCTTATAAATTAAAAGAACTGTTCTGTTCTGTTCTGTTAAAAGCTGTTTCTGTTCACTGGGGTAGCTATAATATGCTAATATCTCTTTTTTTAAAAATTATTTTTATTTCACTAGTTTAAGATCAACATTGATAGAAACATTATTTTCTGTTATGATGTGCATGTCCTGTCTCCTTATCTCCTCAAGGGCACAATTACACACCCAACAAAATAAGCAGCAAACCCAGGTCATGGAGAAAATGAAATACAACTCAGTACAGCTACAGCAGGCTGACTGTGCCAGCTATTACAGTCATTATATGGCTGGATAACCACAAGATCCAAAATGCTACCTGGAGGAAGAATAGCCCCAACTGTCCCTGTAGAATGATCTGTGTAACTGTTAAAATAATCATAGTGGCAATTCAGACAGGTTTCATCTGAGCAGAGCATTGGCAAGGAGATTTGAAGAGAGCCACTTCCAGAGCCCTTCCCACACTCCTTTTTGCTGAGAAACTCCTGCCTGCAGCACAGCTAAAATGGCAAAACAAATCCTGCCCAGGTAGGGCCAGGGAAAAACACACTTGAGAGTCCAATGGCAGGGAATGCTGATAGTTTATACGGGATACTGTAGGAAAACATGAGAAGAAAGAGATGGAAGAATGGTTTGAGAGGGAAAAGGTTGAAGAAGCAATCAGGCAATAATTTAGCAATGTTCTGGGATGATAATTGCTCTTCCTCTAGGCTAATTTGTATGATGCGAATATGCCAAGATGATTACATTAGTGCAGCTAAGGTCAAATCTTTAAAAAATTTTTTAAAAGTTAATTTAATTTTTAAATAATAAAAGCAATGGGACTCCGTTTTTAAAGGGAAAACAGATATTTCAAGGCAGCACTTTGAAAATTACATCTCTTTCCGTAGGTATCTTTCCTAATCAGAAAATGTGAAAATTAAGAAACATCTCATAACTTTATCCAATTTAAATCTCCTTGGGAACCAATTCTTTCCCAGCAAATCCTCTTGATCTGCACCTATTTTGCATGAACACAAAATGTCAAAGGAGTAGGAAATCCATTACTTGAAGGAACTATATCTGCTCTTGAAGTTAGTTGAAAAACTTCTGTATTTTCACGTCTTTTAAATTGTATTTCTTTTAGCAGAAATGAATGAAAATGAAATAAGGATGACTTTGGTAAGAATCATTAAAGTTGGAAAAGAACTTGAAGATCCTTGACTCCAACCCAGCACTGCCAAGCCCACCACTAACCCAGGTCCCTAAGATTCTGCATGTCTTTTGAATAACCCCAGGGATGGTGACTCCACACTGTCCCAGGCAGCCTGAACACCGAGGGATGCTCAAACACAGCAGTCACACCCCTGCCCTCGTGCAACAGGAAGAGATGAGAAGTGTGAGCTGGTGACTCGGATGCAGCGTGGGGTACCCACCGTGACAGAGCACCCCAACTTCTGCATTTGACCCAGGCCATGTCCAACAGCTTCACTGCCCTGAGTGAGTGACCCACTGAAGTGCCTTGGCCAAGGGAATCATTAATCTTTGGTACCCTGAGACCCACTGTTGTTGCCATAGTGACTCTTAAAACGAGGTTATTCTGAAAACTGAAAATAAATGATACCATTAACTTCAAGCAGTTAAAAGTCAGATCTTGATCTCAAAACAGTACAAACCTGGTATAACTCAAAGGGGTTAGTTTAACTCTTTGGTAACAGAGTTGTAATAAATTCCAGAGCAGTTCCACCTAATTTATTCAGCTTTAAATGAGGCCCCATTTCAAATAGGTGCATAAACATTGCCTAACTTTAAACACATGGACAAAGCCTCTAAAATTGTGTGGTGAAAGGAAGCCAGGCAGTGTCAAGCTGCCCCTATGAGCACTTTATTGCTTGCTGTTCAGGCACTATGGGCTAACTAAATTCTGGTGAGATACTAGGAATTCATAAGGCACTTCACACTTCACAAGAATCAAACCTTATCTTTACTTTCCTGTAGCTGCTGTTATGAATACTCAGTAGATCGAAGGCCCTGCATGTCTGAAACTCCTATTCCAGAAGCTCTGCCTTTGCCAAGCCTGCTTTTTGTAACCAAGAAATGCATTTAAAAGGTTCACGTTTCAGATCATACTTCACATCCAAAGCTTATTACAAATGTTTTGTTCCACTGCGCAGCAACAAAATCCAATCTTTTCTGTCAAAG